AAGAATCACTTTCAGATTTAACTAAATCTTTAGAAATTGAACCAAATAGTGCATCAGCATTACGTAGACGTGGAGAAGCTTATTTTTGGTTGAAAAGATACGAAGAATCTCTTGAAGATTTAAAAAAATCATTAAAAATTGAACCAAATAGTGCAAAAGCATTAAACTATCGTGGTGCCACATATCTTAAGACGAAACGATATAAAGAATCACTTTCAGATTTAACTAAATCTTTAGAAATTGAACCAAATAGTGCATCAGCATTACGTAGACGTGGAGAAACTTATTTTAGGTTGGAAAGATATGAAGAATCTCTTGAAGATTTAAATAAATTATTAGAAATTAAACCAAATTGCGCAAATACATTAAATTATCGTGGTCAAACTTATCACATGATGAATAAATATAAAGAATCACTTGCAGATTTAAATAAATCATTAGAAATTAAACCAAATTGCGCAGATACATTAGGTAATCGTGGTATAACTTATCGCATGATGGGTAAATATAAAGAATCACTTGCAGATTTAAATAAATCATTAGAAATCGAACCAAATGATAAATTTGCAAAGGAACGTAACCTTGCAATGAAAAAATTGCGGATTTAAGTACATATAAAATGGAAATATATAAAATGATAAACTGTATTAAATAGGTTTGGACCTGTATTGAGGTCGAACAATCAGTATGAAAATAGCAGGTAAACCTGTATGCTAAATTAGAGTGTAGATCATGCGAAATAATAATATAATCACCTTATAAATTTTTTAATTAAAAATCATATTTAGTCATTTCATATTTTGTGCAAAGTTATATGTCGAATGAATACCAAAATTAATTAGGGTTTAATTTTGATTAAATAGCTATAAATTAAAATGCATAGTATACGTGCATAGGGAATCATATTGAAAATTTCATGAAGAACAGTATTTGAAGGACTAGCAAACAGTTTTTCTATAAGTTAATATTTGCACCATCGACTTCCAAACACAAGAATATTATTGCTAATTAGAATTTAATATAGATTGTATTATTTATTAGCCTAATATAATAAACTTCAAGTTATATAATAAGATTAAATATTATACAAATCTCGAAATATTAAAGACAAACCTAAAAAGAAAAAAAATCTAAACTAGTAAGAAATAGCTAGTCAAAGAACTAAAAAAAAATTAAATAGTGCTAGAATGCTTAGCTATTTTTTTTTTTCAAAACTGTTTATATTCTCTTTAAACCACTGGTGGATAACCATTGAGGAGCGTCAATTTCTAAACCTTCAGCTAGTTTATTAACCACTTCCTTCCAAAATTTAATTTGTTGTTCTTTTGAGGCATTTTTTGTAATATTGCTAAGATTTTTATAATTAAGACCTTCTTGAGGAACAGGAATGATTAATGTAGCATCTTTTCCTAAACTAGAAAAACTACAAACATAGCTTTTATCATTCTTATTGATATATTCTTCAAAACTTGAATAATCTTGACTAATAAATTTTAATTCCGGACATTTAGTTACCACAAATTCAAATTGTTTATTTTTTGTTTCTTTGGTTATATAAGGACACTCCCAAAAGTATGTAGTTAATTTATTTGTTGCATCATTTAATGCTTCTGTGAATTCTTTGAAAAAATGTTCATTTTATGAGTCTAAAAGCCTGATAAATTCATTATAGTTTAGTTCATTATCATCAGATTTTTTAAATTGATATTTAATTACACCTTTTTTTTATTAAATTTATAAATAGAATTTGTTGATTCCATAATTTAATTGATCAAATTTTATTTGCTTATAAAACCATAACGGTAATATTTATTGTCGTTGCTAAAGATGGAAATGGCTAATGCTGGTAATTAGGGGTCTCGATTTAAAACTATAAACCCTGCTAAAATCCAATTATACTATACTCTAATCTTAAATTCTAATCTAACTATAAAAAATAAAATCGTAGAAAATGCACTCCAATTTTTCGAGATATACTTAATTTAAACTATCCTATTATAGTATTTTAATTAGAGTTTATGCTATGATTATCCTTATTAGGTCATCTTTTTGCATCTCTTATACTTATATAGATATTACAAACAGGTACTATGGATTTCATTAGATAACTTCTTGTTTGGTGTTTAGCTAGTTTTATAGCCTAACCTATCTGTACACCTCTTAGTTAGCATATTCAGGGTTTATAATTTATTATAATTACTATAGATCTGGAGATGTTAGTGTTTTATAATATATGATTATGTTTATATATTATGTTATTATTAATAATAGATATTTCTGTATGTTGGTAAAGTACAGGTTATATTTTGCAACCAAAGTTGTTTCTAACTAAATTCATAATACATAGTATTACTTTCAACTTGTATCTGCATTAGCTACACAGATCAAATAAATATATCAAATATATATATCAGGATTCTTATATTATCTCAATATTTATCTTTTATATACACTTTTATAACCTGTTATTCAACAGATATTTGGTGGATTTATAGCTAAATAAAAGTGAAATAAAAGATATATATTAGTATAATATTAAAGATGTATATCAGAAGTATAAAGAAAGAGAAATATTATATTATTTTTCTTTCTTTATACTTCAGATATATATCTTAAATATTATACTGATATACATCTTTTATTTCACTTTTATTTAGCTATAGATCTGCTAAATATCTGTTGAATAACAGGTTATAAAAGTATATATAAAAGATAAATATTAGGATAATATAGAAATCTAATAATAACTTGATATTTATCTTTTATATATATTTTATAACCTTTTATTTAACAAATATTTAGTGAATCTATAGCTAAATAAATATAAAATAAAAGATGTATATCAGTATAATATCTAAGATATATATCAGAAGTATAAAGGAAAAAAATAATACAATACATCTTTTTCTTTATACTTCTGATATATATCTTTAATATTATACTGATATACATTTTTTATTTCACTTTTATATAGCTATAGATTTGCCAAATATCTGTTGAATAACAGGTTATAAAAGTGTATATTAAAAATAATATTAGAATGATATAAGAATACTGATATATATATTTAATATATTCATTTAACTTGTAACAAGTTATAAAAGTATATATAAAAGATAAATATCAAGATGATATAAAAATCTACTAATAATCTGATATTTATTTTTTATATATACTTTTATAATCTATTATTTAACAGGTATTTATATTAATAGTTTTTTCTTTTTTTTTTTTTTTTTTTTTTTTTTTTTTTATAATGCCAAAATAGAAACTTTATTCATTGAAAAAATAGAGTT